CACAAAAGGAGAATTAAAAAAAAAAAAAAAAAAAAAAAAAAAAAAAAAATAGTAGCAGCAGAAGCAGGACTGAAATCTGTATCTCCTGGTACTTGTGGAAAACAGAAAAAAAATTCCAGAAGATTTAGAATAGGCAAAACTAGGAGCTATCGTTAGAAAAAAGCAGATGGTTCTGAAAAATTGTAAATTAACTTATTTTAATATCTGGAAAAAAATCAGGATAATTCAATTTGCAAATAACACAAAACATAAACTAATAAACAGGCACCAATGTGGTTTTTCTAAAGAAGAAATTATAGCAGCATAATGTGTTTTTTTCCCTAAGAGAAGACACAGGCCTTATGGGTTACAGTAAATCAAGACTTATCTGGACATACATTAGATATTTTTTAAAGTTCTTATGAATAAGAAACAAGTCATTGAAATTATATGTTCCAAACAAACAAAAACTTACTTAAAATGTGTTTGGGCATTTTTCTGGGGAGAGTATCCATATCTTTCATTAGATTAAAAAATAAGAAAATACAACAGTGATTCAGAGGGAGGTATTTTCAGCATTAACTATAAGACTTTGTGGTCAGAGCTATTTCATACTTTTGCTAACAACTAAATTAGATCAGAAAATAAAAGAATAGCCTTAGCAGAACAAGCAATTGCGCAAGGTTAAAAAAAAATGGAAGAGAGGTATGTGGCTTGCCAATATATAAATACTAAAATCAGCATCATAAATTTGACCAATAAAAGGAGAATGGGACAGCTAAGGTAGAAAACATTCAAAAGTGATCAAGGACTACTTAATGAATGTAAGCTGGCAACGTTGAAAGTTGAAATTGTACTGAGATTAATAGGGATATTAATTAAAGAAGAGCCTTTTGGCGAAATGGTACACTGAGTTGATGTAAATGGATCTTTTCTCCCAACACACACACACAGAGATGCTGGATAAAACAAAACAAAAATGCTTTAAAAATATATAGTCAAGCTAGGGAAAAAAAAAAAAATCCCCAGGCACGGGAAATGAAAGAGACATCAAAATGAAAGCCAGAACAGTAAGTGAGAGTTGAGACTATGGTGGCCCACAGGGGCTTCAAACTCCAACATAGGCCTTAGGCTTGGAGGAGGAAGCATTCATGCTCACACGGAGCCTGGAAATATAGCTTTAGGCAGGTAAGAAGAACTGAGAACCTTGCACAAAGAGCCTCAAACACCTATCCCTCTTTGATATGTAGTCTGAAAAACCTCTGCTCACTGGCTCAGCCAACAGCAGTAAAAGTTGCCTATTATCTAGACCCTGAGTAGAAGGAAAGACACTGGCAAGAAATAAAAAATGCAGGCCTATGCCACAGAGGTGTAGGACCCAAATTTTACACCCTGCATTATTCAGGAATCCTGAGCTGAGAAATTAGCATAAAAACTGGTCTTTGACATGCAACAGGAAAAAACCAGGGTATTTTCATAACCCAAGACTCAGAGACTCACACGTGTGGAAAAAGAAAAACATAGAAAAGAGCTCACTATTACAAACCACATGAGGAAGTCACGAATGTGAAAGGTAAATCTATAAAAGCTAACAGTAGAAAACGTCAGAGGGTTATCTGTGAAGCAGGAGTAGGGAAACTTCCTAAATAATGCCCCAAAAGCCAAAAAATAAAGGGAAAAGGATGAATTTGACTATATTAAAGGTTTCTGTCAAAGAACTCTGTAGATGTGATTAACAGACAAATGGTAGAACTAGGAGATAATATCTGCAATGTTTAAAGATAACAAGAATTTAATATCTAGAGTATATAAGAAATTCCTATAAATCTTAGGGGGAAAATGGAAATCCCAGGGATGGGGGGATGGGCAAATAATATAACTAGGCAATTCAGAGAAGCTCACTTAATTGGTAATAACTATAGTAATAGTAACTGTTATAATAGCAGCTAATATTTATTTTGATGTCTATTATGTTCAGGAAGTGCTCTATATGCTTTATATATATATTAACTCATTTTATCCTCTTAACAAAGTGATGAGGTAGTTGCTATTATTATCCCTTTTTACTGATGGGGAGACTGAGGCCCAGAGAGGTTGAGTAATTTCTCCAGTCTCACAGTCACATGTGGTAGAACATGGGTTTGCATCTAGGGCACCATTGGTGGATACATATTGATATAGCTGTTCTGAAAAAGCATTCTGGTTAACATTCAGTAAATTTTTCTGTGCATATATGCCTTATGACCCAGGAATCGGACTCTTGGGTGTAGATCCTAGGAACATTCTCATATAGGTCCATAAGGAAACACAGCTAGAAAGATTACTGGGGCGTTATTTGTGATAGCAGGGAGATGAGGGGTAACTTAGATGACCATCACTAACAAAATAGAATAAGTGTGCAGGATGTATACTACGGAATATTGTGCATTAGAAATAAGCAACAACTAACTATTCAGACAGAAACATGGACAGGTCTAAAATATCCAGTGTTGAATGAAAAAATAAGAGCTAGAATGAGATCTAGAGCATAATACCCTTTATAAAAGTTTAAAAAAACCCAATCAAAACAATACTATATAGTACATAAAGCTGCATATATAGCCAAAGACATTTTATCAAATACATAAGACTGAGTGCTTATGAGGGGAGGGAAATGGGAATAGGGGGTGGAGGTGAAGAAAAAAATTAAAATCAAACAAGAGGGGCCTTGCCCAGATAGATAAATATTAGTGTTACAGATGAGGAGGCTCCCTGAACCACCCAACTGTCAAAAAATAAAAATAAAAAGTCACATAAGGAAATGAATCACCAAGAAGGAAAGTTATGAAGTGCAGGAAACTACAAATAGCACCTTGTAGAATTGAAAAACCATAAAAATTACAGAATACAGTAAAACCTTGGGTTGTGAGTAACTTGGTTTGCAAGTGTTCCGCAGGACGAGCAAACATTTCTAAGACATTTTAACATGGTAAATGAGCGATTTCTTGCAATACAAGTAGTTTGTTTCTGGAACGAATTATGCTCACAAACCAAGCTATTACTGCACTATAAAAAATGCTATAAATTAGTTTTCATTTTAATAAACAGGCAAAATGAAGTGAAGCCATAGAAAAGAACAAGATAAATAAAGAAAAGAATAGGCAGGTGTGGGGCCGGCTGAGTGGCGCATTGGTTAAGAACTGGCTTGGGGGGCCGGCCGAGTGGCGCGATGGTTAAGAACTCGCTTGGGATGCCAGAGGGCCCCGGTTCGGATCCCACATATGAGGGCCAGTGACA